CAAAAGTGTCTTACTGAACACCTGGGGCTGTTGTGTTTGGCCATTCTGGCTGGATGTCACACGGATTCTCTGAGCACAGCTGACAGTAACAGAAGGACAGTAGAGAATTTTTATGATCTTGAGACCATATCTGAAATACAGAATCAACTTCTCCTTAATCAGCTTCATGATGAGTGTGAATATATTCAAATAGCAAATTTAATTAAATAAACACTTCACAGTGAGAAACAAATGAAACCTGAACTTAAACAGAAATGAATATGAGACTCCTGGGAATATCAGGTACCGTGGGAAACAGAACTCAAAACAAACCAAAATGGCCGACAGTGGGAACCAGAGCTCAGAACAAACCAAAATGGCCGACAGTGGGAACCAGAGCTCAGAACAAACCAAAATGGCCGACAGTGGGAACCAGAGCTCAGAACAAACCAAAATGGCCGACAGTGGAAACCAGAACTCAGAACAAACCAAAATGGCCGACAGTGGGAACCAGAGCTCAGAACAAACCAAAATGGACGACCACCTGGAAGTTTTCACCGACTCTTCTGTTCCACCTGTCACTCACTATCGGGCTACCACACCCCGTCCTGAGGGGAACTCCCCCCCTTCCAAGAGCACCTAAAATGGCTCCTCTGAGCCACCAATGATACCACAACTAAAATGGTTCCTTCAGGCCACTAAAACTACACAATCACTTCTCTTATGCAATTCGAGGAACCAATGATCTCAAACTTGCAAAGCAACAGATAAAATCCAGGCACCAAATACCAACAAAACACTGACTCTTAAACCCAATGTCACAAAATCACAATACACTCAGCAAAACAATATACACATCTATCACTTAAAACACAAAGATTAAGCAAAATACTACTAGTAATATTGCAAAATGCCAGACTGGTATTTTAGTAGTAAAATAAATAAAACCACACAATATAATAATCCAGTAAATAACTTACTATCAGTAGCAATAGAAAGAATAAATGAACTTGACAACACTGACCACAAAATCCCAACTAAAAGTAAATCACACATAAATAACTACATAAACTGAAACAAAATTGTGTCCCTAACAAGCAGGTTCTAAACCTCCCTCCTACCCCTAATAGGTAAAGGGACTTCTCCTAGCTGGCAGCCTTCGCCTTCCCCGGCTCGTCGCTGTGCTACGAGGAATCTCCCCTTGACCAGCTCTCCTGGCCTAGGGTCCTACTCCCCTCTGGTCAGGCTCCTACTCCCTCCCCCTGCCAAAAGAGGGACAATCCCCCAACCGGTGGCCTCACTCTCTGCAGGTCTCCGGTTAGGAGTCTCCAGCCCACCCCAAAGGTCCTAGTTCCTCAAGATGCCCGGGACACTCCCCGCGCTCACCCTGAGGAACTGCCCCCCAAGTTGCTCCAGATGGTGGAACCCCCCTGCGCCCCCCTTGTCACCCCTCCCAGCCAGCGCCCCAATGCCTGACACTGCAACTGGGAGACCCAGTCCTGAAGGTCTTCCTGGCAAGCCAGAATGTTGTCCCAACCAAACCAACACCTCCGGTCCCTTCGTGTACGGTGGTGCATTCCTGGCCAATCATTCCAGGAGCTTAAGGCACCATTGCCTGGTTGGCTCTCCCAATCACAAGTTGAGCTGGTTTCTTCACTCTTGGATACAGCCCTTCCCCTTTCTCTGCATTGACAGCTACACACACATAACTAACAATTCATATAACTTTTTAATTTATTATATTAATTTTAACAATTCATTATAATACAATTCATTACACTAACAATTTATTTACAACAATTAACTATCCTTAATCCTGCCTACTGAAACAAATTCATTTATAACAACAGGGGGACTAGAATACTACGGGGTAAGAATCTTATGCCTAAAATACTACAACACTACGGGGTAAGAATCTTATGCCTAAAATACTTGAACACTACGGGGTAAGAATCTTATGCCTAAAATACTTGAACAGTACGGGGTAGGAATCTTATGCCTAAAATACTAGAATACTACAGGGTAAGAATCTTATGCCTAAACTACTTGAACTTCTAGAAGGGGAATACTAAAGGAAATGTCAGTTTCTTGTGGGAGAGGTGTCGGGAAACGCTGGACTGAGGCTGGGGTGTCTCCAGCTCTGGAGATGGGGATGCCGCTGGTCACACATGCCCCGGAGCTCCGCGCCGCGGTGGAACTCGGCGCTGAGTGGGACCGGACTCTCCTCTCTCCGACGGCCCCGGCGCTTCTCCCTCGGCCCGGGGCCCTGCGGGGCGGGTGGTTCAGGCACAGCTGCAGCAGGGCGCGGTTCTGCCTCAGCAGCTGCATCAGCGTCGTGGGGCAGCCGCGGCCCCGGCAGCAGCGGCAGCGGGCTCCGGCACGGCCCGAATGGTCCCGGCACTGCTCCTGCGGGGCAAAGCGCAGAGAGGGATCCCATGGGAGCGGCAGAGTGGGGCCGAGGCCGCTGCGAGGGAGGCTCGGCCTGCCAGGGCTGCCCGGCAGAGGCCGCAGCGAGCGGAGCTCCGGCCCCGCTGCGGCTGCTGGCCCGGCCCGGCCCGGCCCGATGCCCGCCCGGAGGCTCCGCTCCCCTCTGCCCCGGGGCTCGGCCAAGGGGTGCCCTGGAGCCCCGGCAGCCTCGGCTCTGCCCGTCCTGCCTGCCCGAGCCCTCCTTTACCTCTCTGCGGTGTCTCCAGAGCCTCCTGCCTGCCCGAGCCCTCCCTCACCTCTCTGCGGCGTCTCAAGATCCTTTTGCCGAGGCAGAAGCCCAGGACGACGCCCGCGACCAGCCCGTCTCCCAGGAAGCACGTCCAGAACAGCAGCGCCAGGTCCCCCCACGGACCAGCCTCATTGGCCGTGTCCTGCAGCTCCAGCTCCTCGGGAAGCAGGCCCGAGGTGCCCCGCTCAGGACGGCTGGAGGGGTCGAGGGGATGGACCAGGAGCGCCAGCAGGTACACCTGCAGCATCCAGGAGCCGCCCGGGCCAGCCATGGTGGTGCGCAGGAGGAGCTGCCACCAGCACACAGGCTCTGGACGTCTCTGCACGCCGAGGTCTGCAGGGGCTCTGGGCACGGAACGGCTGGGGGCACTTGCCAGCCACCCTGCTGTCCCCAGAGGCTGTGATGTCACAAATCACAGAATGCACGGGCTCCGAAGGGCCCTGCAAGTTCCACTCCAACCTGTGCCCCGTGGCCTCCATGGCGAGCAGGCCGGAGCCGGAGTGCCATGGCCGGGCTTCCCTTGGGCACCTCCCACAGTGCTGACTCCACCAGCTCCCCCAGGGCAGAGCATTCTCGAATCTAATGCCCCTTTCTGGGCCAAAGTTCTTCCTAATGTCCAATGTAAATCTCCCTCAGCACACCTCCCTCAGCACAGCTTCGGACCCTTGTTGGCATCTGCTCTCTCGTGTCCTGGCCCATCTCTGAGGAGGCTGCGATGCCCGCTGGGCACTCGCTGGGCGTGGGAGAAGAGGCTGTGCCAGCGAGTGCTGCTCAGCTTGTAGCCACTCACAGGAGCACTGGGTTGTGCCTGCTGTGAAAGGAGCGTTTGTGCACGTTGCCATTTCTTAGAGGTTTTACCCCAGATTTTCATGGACAGCTGTCCTAGTGAAAGCAAGTCTGTTTTCATGAGTATTTGAAGGGTTGTAGAACACAGTGCCATCTCAGGGAAGTTCTGCTGGTGTCATTTTACTGAGGCTTTGAGATGAAGTCCAAGAGCTCCTAAAATGGCTCCTCTGAGCCACCAATGATACCACAACTAAAATGGTTCCTTCAGGCCACTGAAATGACAATCGATTTTCTTATGCAATTCTAGGAACCAATGATCTCAAACTTCCAAAGCAACAGATAAAGTCCAGGCACCAAATACCAACAAAACACTGACTCTTAAACCCAATGTCACAAAATCACAATACACTCAGCAAAACAATATACACATCTATCACTTAAAACACAAAGATTAAGCAAAATGCTACTAGTAATATTGCGAAATGCCAGACTGGTATTTTAGTATTAAAATAAATAAAACCACACAATATAATAATCCAATAAATAACTTACTATCAGTAGCAATAGAAAGAATAAATGAACTTGACAACACTGACCACAAAATCCCAACTAAAAGTAATTCACACATAAATAACTACATAAACTGAAACAAAATTGTGTCCCTAACAAGCAGGTTCTAAACCTCCCTCCTACCCCTAATAGGTAAATGGACTTCTCCTAGCTGGCAGCCTTCGCCTTCCTTGGCTCGTCGCTGTGCTACGAGGAATCTCCCCTTGACCAGCTCTCCTGGCCTGGGGTCCTACTCCCCTCTGGTCAGGCTCCTACTCCCTCCCCCTGCCAAAAGAGGGACAATCCCCCAACCGGTGGCCTCATTCTCTTCAGGTCTCCGGTTAGGAGTCTCTAGCCCACCCCAAAGGTCCTAGTTCCTCAAGATGCCCGGGACACTCCCCGCGCTCACCCTGAGGAACTGCCCCCCAAGTTGCTCCAGATGGTGGAACCCCCCTGCGCCCCCCTTGTCACCCCCTCCCAGCCAGCGCCCCAATGCCTGACACTGGAACTGGGAGACCCAGTCCTGAAGGTCTTCCTGGCAAGCCAGAATGTTGTCCCAACCAAACCACCACCTCTGGTCCCTTCGTGTACGGTGGTGCATTCCTGGCCAATCATTCCAGGAGCTTAAGGCACCATTGCCTGGTTGGCTCTCCCAATCCCAAGTTGAGCTGGTGTCTTCACTCTTGGATACAGCCCTTCCCCTCTCTCTGGATTGACAGCTACGCACACATAACTAACAATTCATATAACTTTGTAATTTATTACATTAATTATAACAAATCATTACACTAACAATTTATTTACAACAAGTAACTATCCTTAATCCTTCCTACTAAAACAAATTCATTTATAACAACAGGGGGACTAGAATACTACGGGGTAAGAATCTTATGCCTAAAATACTTGAACACTACGGGGTAAGAATCTTATGCCTAAAATACTAGAATACTACAGGGTAAGAATCTTATGCCTAAACTACTTGAACTTCTAGAAGGGGAATACTAAAGGAAATGTCAGTTTCTTTTGGGAGAGGTGTCGGGAAACGGTGGACTGAGGCTGGGGTGTCTCCAGCTCTGGAGATGGGGATGCCGCTGGTCACACATGCCCCGGAGCTCCGCGCCGCGGTGGAACTCGGCGCTGAGTGGGACCGGACTCTCCTCTCTCCGACGGCCCCGGCGCTTCTCCCTCGGCCCGGGGCCCTGCGGGGCGGGTGGTTCAGGCACAGCTGCAGCAGGGCGCGGTTCTGCCTCAGCAGCTGCATCAGCGTCGTGGGGCAGCCGCGGCCCCGGCAGCAGCGGCAGCGGGCTCCGGCACGGCCCGAATGGTCCCGGCTCTGCTCCTGCGGGGCAAAGCGCAGAGAGGGATCCCATGGGAGCGGCAGAGTGGGGCCGAGGCCGCTGCGAGGGAGGCTCGGCCTGCCAGGGCTGCCCGGCAGAGGCCGCAGCGAGCGGAGCTCCGGCCCCGCTGCGGCTGCTGGCCCGGCCCGGCCCGGCCCGATGCCCGCCCGGAGGCTCCGCTCCCCTCTGCCCCGGGGCTCGGCCAAGGGGTGCCCTGGAGCCCCGGCAGCCTCGGCTCTGCCCGTCCTGCCTGCCCGAGGCCTCCCTCACCTCTCTGCGGTGTCTCCAGAGCCTCCTGCCTGCCCGAGCCCTCCCTCACCTTTCTGCGGCGTCTCCAGAACCTTCTGCCGAGGCAGCAGCAGCCCAGGACGACGCCCGCGACCAGCACGTCTCCCAGGAAGCAGGTCCAGAACAGCAGCGCCAGGTCCCCCCACGGGCCGGCCTCATTGGCCGTGTCCTGCAGCTCCAGCTCCTCGGGAAGCAGGCCCGAGGTGCCCCGCTCAGGACGGCTGGAGGGGTCGAGGGGATGGACCAGGAGCGCCAGCAGGTACACCTGCAGCATCCAGGAGCCGCCCTGGCCAGCCATGGTGGTGCGCAGGAGGAGCTGCCACCACCACACAGGCTCTGGACGTCTCTGCACACTGAGGTCTGCAGGGGCTCTGGGCACGGAACGGCTGGGGGCACTTGCCAGCCACCCTGCTGTCCCCAGAGGCTGTGATGTCACAAATCACAGAATGCCCGGGCTCGGAAGGGCCCTGCAAGTTCCACTCCAACCTGTGCCCCGTGGCCACCATGGCGAGCAGGCCGGAGCCGGAGTGCCATGGCCGGGCTTCCCTTGGGCACCTCCCACAGTGCTGATCCATGAGAGCTGAGGGCTCACTGTGCAAGGCTGAAAGTAAATGAGATGCTCTGAAGAGATTTTGGTCTTGGTGACTTATTGAAGGTGGATAGGACATAATTCCTTCGCTCATTGGGAATGCACAGTTTCGTTTTATCTGCTGTGTTTCTAAGCAGTGCTAAAGAAATGTTATTTCCCTCAATTTTGATGGCAGCAGAGGCTCAGCTGATTGATATGGATCTAAGTAAGGTCTCTAAGATGAAATAAAGTCTGAAAAGCTGCTAGACTAAAGGCACCCTGGACCTTTGGTCCCACAGGGAGTCTCTGAGGGAGCGGTCGAAGGGGCCTCGGGCAGCGAAATCTGATCTTCCACCCTGGAGACCAGAGGACACTTGGGCTGCTGGAGTTCCGTGAGTTTATTGCAAGGTGAAGTAGGAAGATGACAGGGAAACAACTGCACGGGAGGGAAACAGACTCCGAGAGCCCCTTCAGAGGAGGGGTCAGGACATACACCAGGGGAAGGGTAGGAGGGGTCAGGGCACATGGGGATCAATGGGAAGAAGACTCAGGGGAGGAGCAGGGATGGGGTGACATAACTAGAACCAATGGGTGAACAGAGAACTTTCCAGAACTGAGGGATGGAGCAAACAGTGAGTGACATTAAGTGGCAGGGTCCAACATTTGATAGACATGGGGAAGGCGGGGATCTCATACATCAGTGGTTTCACAGGGCAAGCCTGGATAGCTTTCCCTGGGACTGCCTCCCACACCAGACAACCCCTATAGTCAATCTTAACAGAAAAGGAAAAAGCTGAACTTCCATCTTAATTTCAGAGATGATTCCTCTGTCCTGCCTGCTTTTCCTACACTGGGTATGTGACCACCACCGTTCATTTTGATCCTTAGCCCTGCCTGCACCACCTCACCTGCCTGCTGCTGTTCACCTTTGCTTTCCTGTCAGATGGAATCACTGAAATAGAAAAGATTCTTCATTAAAATGTCTTGGCAATTTTTAAATTTTAAAACTTTGCCCTTTTGTCTTTGCTGAGTACTGGTGCTGGCTCATACCTAAGGTAGCAAATGTAGATGGAAATGCTGTACTGAACATAACATAATTATGTTTAGGAGGAACAGGTATTGCTGCGTTGCTAGGAAAAATACTAAATTGAGCCTGTGGGACAATATGTCTGATTATACTAATTGGTACCTGTGCTTGTAATGCTTAGTTACTTTTTCTCCTCACAACTGTGGAAGAACACTCGGCCATCTGATGTGGCCAAGCAGTTACTGCAGCTTCCTGGTGCCCTGCTGGGGCGTGCAGGAATGGCCAGTTCAGCACTGAACTCCCCATTTATGCACGTGGCTCTTACAGCCCCTTGTTGTGGTGATGTCAGTTTGGGATGAGAGCACATCCATCCCAGAAAAGTCATTAGCAGAGTTGTGAAGGTTTGCACAACACTTGCTTTTCCTGGGTGCTTTCATCAAATCTGGTGATGAGCTCCCTTTTCTGGGAGAGAATTCAATTCCTTACGCTGAGGAGGGAAATGTTTAGTGTCTCTCACACCCAAGGACATGGGCTTTGGCACAGTTTGATGATACCTGAATGAATCCTTTAACACAGCAGCATTCTGTCAGATCAGTTCCTTGTTTCTCTTTTCCTCAGGTAGATTACTAACCCTAACCAATTACTGGTGATTTTTGATTTTTCTGCAGCCAGCAGCACAGCTGACCCCTCTCAAAGAAGTTCCAAAAGGACAGAAGCACAACTCATTCTTTTCACCTCAACTCATGGACAGGAACACCTTTCACAGCTCTCATCCCAATTTCTTACGTGGACCAAAACAGCCTTGTCTCATCCAGCAGATGTTCTCTTCATCAAAGTCCCATGGACAACTGGACAAAGCCTCTTCTTTCAGTGCTGGGTAAGCACCAAGGTCAGCGTCTGCTTTTCACCACTGCTGTACCATGACATTGCCTATGACTATGGAGTGGCTAAATCTTGCTCCAGCTGCAGTTTATCTGTCTCACTTGCTCCTCCAAAATTGATTTATTCATGAAAATTAACAGAGTCCATTCCTCCAACTGGTGCCTAGCTTTTGCAACAGATAGAGAGCTCTATTTTAAGATGTGTATCCACTGAGTATGATTAATTATTATACTACTAAGAAAGTTTTCATTGTGTTCATTTTGTATTTTTTATCTCTGATTCAGCCTCCAATTAGCCAAAATTACTAGAAATCCATAACAAATCACTATGTCAGTTATTTATATGATTCAATATTGAACGAACTGGCTATCAAAATCCCTTTGCCTTGGTCCTCCACTCCTTGGTGTGAGTCTTGAATTCCTCTAATGAACTTTTCCCAGGCAAACAGAGCCAGCTTACTGGGACTGGCACCTTCTGTCCCTTGACATTTGTTACCTTTTGAGGTAAGGCAAAGAGGCCCTGTGGGAAGCCCAGTCTGCTTCAGGCCTCTCTTAATTGATTTTCTGTGAATTTTAATGATAAAGCTTCTCAGGGTGCTAGGCTGAGTTCTGAAGGGAACTGGGATGATCTGCTTCAATGAATGCAGCATCCTCAATTTCCCATTAGTTGCTGACAGCTTCATGAGGAAAAGTACTCTTCATTTGGGGCCAGGGCTATCAGACACAAAGCAAAAAACATCATTCTCATTCCTAACTCCAGGAAAAGGACACTTGGCATAGAGGGAAAGAGAGCTTGTCTGAGGAGTGAGCCAGAGAAGTCAAAATCTAGTGGGGCCACTTATTAATCTTCTCCCTGTAGTCCTTATGCCTTAGCAGGCTGAAAAACTTCACTTTTTCCTACCTGACTTTGAAGACAATATCGGAGCTGGTGGCCTGTAAAGTTCCTGTCATCCTGGGCATCTGTCTTTGGATGTATTTCTGTGTAGATGCTCTGATTCATGGGGAGGCATTCCAACTACATTCCAGCAAGAACGTGGCTGGAAAGCAAGGCCAGAAGAAATTAGTAAGTTGTGTGCAGCAGGATGCCAGCCTTATTTCTAAGCATGGTTTTCTTTTTTTTTTCCTCCACTGCACGTGTAATGGAAGTCAAAGCCTCTATTAGAAAAGCTTGCCTTTTAAAAACAAACACTCCTCCCTCAAAAGAGCCATGGAAAGAAAGAATCAAAGCCCAGACCCCAAAGCAAGATATTCTGAGAATGTGTTGTAATTGTTTCCTTGTTGTAATGTTACCTTTCCACTTAAAATGGAAGGAAATAATATGAACACTTCTCAAAACCAGGGAGCCTACAAACTTCACTGTATCTTCAACTAGAAATAAATAGAGAGGGTCAGTGGATTAAGAAAGGATGTTCAGAAAGGTTAAATGAAGTATAAAGGAAACAGTCAAAAAGATCTGGATTATTATAGTGAAGTTTTTAAATTATTTACTGTGTCATTAACAGTAATTAATCTCTCTAAGACTTTATTCTTCATATAAAACTGAATATTTAACTGCATTTTCATCATAAATCATTGCTAAAGGATGGCATAAAGGATGGGAAACTGGATATATAAGAGACACACCTTCTGTAAGGCTTGTGATACATTTACAGGGTCTTTTTTCCTCCTTGCTCATAACACCAGGCTCACAATACGGGGCCATTGCACGTGCCTTAAGTTATGACTTCAGCAGAGAAGCAAGAAAGAAAAGCTATTGGAGATGACATGTTGTGGTATTTCAGGCTGGTTAGCTGCAGCAAACCTGGATCTTCACTTCCCAGACTTGCCTCTGAGCAGTGGAGTTTTGAAGGCTCCCATCAAGCACTTGCAGTGTAAGTGTTCACTTCCCTGTTTTCTAAGGGCATCCATTCACCTGAGTGTTCCTCAGCCCTTTCTCTCCCCACCAGGCTCTGCTGAAACCTTCTGGGTGTTTCAAACAGTTTGAGGGTTTTTTTGCCAGTGATAGTGGTTTTCTTTCTGTTTGGTTGAAATACTTTTAAGCAGGCTATGGTGGTTTTTTTGCAGAAGAGAAATTAAATTGATGGAGAATTGCATTATTTGGTAGTGTTTGCAGTGTGTGGCTATAGCAATGTGCAATATTTGGGTCAGATGTTTTTTAGCACTTAATTGTCTGCCCAACTGAATGCTCAAGCATAATCAGGCTGATTATGTTTAAGCAGTTGAAAGTTCAATGTACAGTGTGAAATAGGATAGCAATTATCTTCTAAATTCCTTTATATGAGCTACAGGAGGTACTTTTGCTCAGGACTGGAATCCTGGATAATCTGTATCATCAACACAGTTCTGGATTTAGCTCCTAACATGTTTTTGAGAAAAAAATCAGCATGCAAATGATTGAAGTCAATTTCTATGTTAATCCTCAGGCAGCTATGAGTGGGGACACCTGTGATTTCAGACTAAAAACCAAGAAAAGTTCAGTAGTTAAAATTCTGAGCCCTGAAAGTAGAAGACAACTGCTCATTCCAGGTGTTCATTAAAACCACATTCCAGTCCAGCCCAAAGAAGGTGCCTGTGCATTAGAAGTATGGGATGACATTACACTCTTTAAACACTGTTTTATTGGCCTTTGAATATAGGTGATATTTCATTATCTAACGTATGTATCATTGAAAGCTCTGGTCTTTTATAATTTTTAACTGTTGATTTGATGTTAAGAGTCACTCTCTTGGTTTTCTAGAAGTGGTGTGCAGGCAGGTAAGTTAGGAAGTTTTTCTATAAAGTGCTCCAGTCTGAAGGGAAATATTTCTTCCTCTGGGTTTTTGGCAAAAGTGTCTTACGGAACACCTGGGGCTGTTGTGTTTGGCCATTCTGGCTGGATGTCACACGGATTCTCTGAGCACAGCTGACAGTAACAGAAGGACAGTAGAGAATTTTTATGATCTTGAGACAGTATCTGAAATACAGAATCAACTCTGCTTAATCAGCTCCACGATGAGTGTGAATATATTCAAATAGCAAATTTAATTAAATAAACAATTCGCAGTGAGAAACAAATGAAACCTGAACTTAAACAGAAATGAATATGAGACTCCTGGGAATATCAGGTACCGTGGGAAACAGAACTCAAAACAAACCAAAATGGCCGACAGTGGGAACCAGAGCTCAGAACAAACCAAAATGGCCGACAGTGGGAACCAGAACTCAGAACAAACCAAAATGGCCGACCAGCCGGAAGTTTTCTCCGACTCTTCTGGTCCACCTGTCACTATCGGGCTACCACAGCCCTTCCTGAGGGGAACTCTCCCTCCTTCCAAGAGCACCTAAAATGGCTCCTCTGAGCCACAATGATACAACTAAAATGGTTCCTTTAGGCCACTAAAACGACACAATCACTTCTCTTATGCCATTTGAGGAACCAATGATCTCAAACTTGCAAAGCAACAGATAAAATCAATTCCTGGCCAATCATTCCAGAAGCTTAAGGCACCATTGCCTGGTTGGCTCTCCCAATCACAAGCTGAGCTGGTGTCTTCACTCTTGGATACAGCCCTTCCCCTTTCTCTGGATTGACAGCTACACACACATAACTAACAATTCATATAACTTTGTAATTTATTATATTAATTATAACAATTCATTACAGTAAACAATTCATTACACTAACAATTTATTTACAACAATTAACTATCCGTAATCCTGCCTACTAAAACAAATTCATTTATAACAACAGGGGGACTAGAATACTGCGGGGTAAGAATCTTATGCCTAAAATACTACAACACTACGGGGTAGGAATCTTATGCTTAAAATACTTGAACACTACGGGGTAAGAATCTTATGCCTAAACTACTTGAACTTCTAGACGGGGAATACTAAAGGAAATGTCAGTTTCTTTTGGGAGAGGTGTCGGGAAACGCGGGACTGAGGCTGGGGTGTCTCCAGCTCTGGAGATGGGGATGCCGCTGGTCACACATGCCCCGGAGCTCCGCGCCGCGATGGAACTCGGCGCTGAGTGGGACCGGACTCTCCTCTCTCCGACGGCCCCGGCGCTTCTCCCTCGGCCCGGGGCCCTGCGGGGCGGGTGGTTCAGGCACAGCTGCAGCAGGGCGCGGTTCTGCCTCAGCAGCTGCATCAGCGTCGTGGGGCAGCCGCGGCCCCGGCAGCAGTGGCAGCGGGCTCCGGCACGGCCCGAATGGTCCCGGCTCTGCTCCTGCGGGGCAAAGCGCAGAGAGGGATCCCATGGGAGCGGCGGAGTGGGGCCGAGGCCGCTGCGAGGGAGGCTCGGCCTGCCAGGGCTGCCCGGCAGAGGCCGCAGCGAGCGGAGCTCCGGCCCCGCTGCGGCTGCTGGCCCGGCCCGGCCCGGCCCGATGCCCGCCCGGAGGCTCCGCTCCCCTCTGCCCCGGGGCTCGGCCAAGGGGTGCCCTGGAGCCCCGGGAGCCTCGGCTCTGCCCGTCCTGCCTCCCTCAGCTCTCTGCAGTGTCTCCAGAGCCTCCTGCCTGCCCGAGCCCTCCCTCACCTTTCTGCGGCGTCTCAAGATCCTTCTGCCGAGGCAGCAGCAGCTCAGGACGACGCCCGCGACCAGCACGTCTCCCAGGAAGCACGTCCAGGCAAGCAGCGCCAGGTCCCCCCACGGGCCGGCCTCATTGTCCGTGTCCTGCAGCTCCAGCTCCTCGGGAAGCAGGCCCGAGGTGCCCCGCTCAGGACGGCTGGAGGGGTCGAGGGGATGGACCAGGAGCGCCAGCAGGTACACCTGCAGCATCCAGGAGCCGCCCTGGCCAGCCATGGTGGCGCGCAGGAGGAGCTGCCACCAGCACAGAGGCTCTGGACGTCTCTGCACACCGAGGTCTGCAGGGGCTCTGGGCACGGAACGGCTGGGGGCACTTGCCAGCCACCCTGCTGTCCCCAGAGGCTGTGATGTCACAAATGACAGAATGCACGGGCTCGGAAGGGCCCTGCAAGTTCCACTCCAACCTGTGCCCCGTGGCCACCATGGCGAGCAGGCTGGAGCCGGAGTGCCATGGCCGGGCTTCCCTTGGGCACCTCCCACAGTGCTGATTCCACCAGCTCCCCCAGGGCAGAGCATTCCTGTATCTAATGCCCCTTTCTGGGCCAAAGTTCTTCCTAATGTCCAATGTAAATCTCCCTCAGCACGCCTCCCTCAGCACAGCTTCAGACCCTTGTTGGCATCTGCTCTCTCGTGTCCTGGCCCATCTCTGAGGAGGCTGCGATGCCCGCTGGGCACTCGCTGGGTGTGGGAGCAGAGGCTGTGCCAGCGAGTGCTGCTCAGCTTGTAGCCACTCACAGGAGCACTGGGTTGTGCCTGCTGTGAAAGGAGCGTTTGTGCACGTTGCCATTTCTTAGAGGTTTTACCCCAGATTTTCATGGACAGCTGTCCTAGTGAAAGCAAGTCTGTTTTCATGAGTATTTGAAGGGTAGTAGAACACAGTGCCATCTCAGGGAAGTTCTGCTGGTGTCATTTTACTGAGGCTTTGAGATGAGTTCCAAGAGCTCCTAAAATGGGTCCTCTGAGCCACCAATGATACCACAACTAAAATGGTTCCTTCAGGCCACTAAAACTACACAATAGCTTCTCTTATGCAATTCGAGGAACCAATGATCTCAAACTTCCAAAGCAACAGATAAAATCCAGGCACCAAATACCAACAAAACACTGACTCTTAAACCCAATGTCACAAAATCACAATACACTCAGCAAAACAATATACACATCTATCACTTAAAACACAAAGATTAAGCAAAATACTACTAGTAATATTGCGAAATGCCAGACTGGTATTTTAGTATTAAAATAAATAAAACCACACAATATAATAATCCAGTAAATAACTTACTATCAGTAGCAATAGAAAGAATAAATGAACTTGACAACACTGACCACAAAATCCCAACTAAAAGTAAATCACATATAAATAAATTTACATAAACTGAAACAAAATTGTGTCCCTAACAAGCAGGTTCTAAACCTCCCTCCTACCCCTAATAGGTAAAGGGACTTCTCCTAGCTGGCAGCCTTCGCCTTCCTTGGCTCGTCGCTGTGCTACGAGGAATCTCCCCTTGACCAGCTCTCCTGGCCTGGGGTCCCACTCCCCTCTGGTCAGGCTCCTACTCCCTCCCCCTGCCAAAAGAGGGACAATCCCCCAACCGGTGGCCTCATTCTCTTCAGGTCTCCGGTTAGGAGTCTCTAGCCCACCCCAAAGGTCCTAGTTCCTCAAGATGCCCGGGACACTCCCCGCACTCACCCTGAGGAACTGCCCCCCAAGTTGCTCGAGATGGTGGAACCCCCCTGTGCCCCCCTTGTCACCCCTCCCAGCCAGCGCCCCAATGCCTGACACTGCAACTGGGAGACCCAGTCCTGAAGGTCTTCCTGGCAAGCCAGAATGTTGTCCCAACCACACCACAACCTCCGGTCCCTTCGTGTACGGTGGTGCATTCCTGGCCAATCATTCCAGAAGCTTAAGGCACCATTGCCTGGTTGGCTCTCCCAATCCCAAGCTGAGCTGGTGTCTTCACTCTTGGATACAGCCCTTCCCCTTTCTCTGCATTGACAGCTACACACACATAACTAACAATTCATATAACTTTGTAATTTATTACATTAATTATAACAAATCATTATAATACAACAATTCATTACACTAACAATTTATTTACAATAATTAACTATCCTTAATCCTTCCTACTAAAACAAATTCATTTATAACAACAGGGTACTAAAATACTACGGGGTAAGAATCTTATGCCTAAAATACTAGAATACTACGGGGTAAGAATCTTATGCCTAAAATACTTGAACACTACGGGGTAATTAACTTATGCCTAAAATACTTGAACTTCTAGAAGGGGAATACTAAAGGAAATGTCAGTTTCTATTGGGACAGGTGTCGGGAAACGCTGGACTGAGGCTGGGGTGTCTCCAGCTCTGGAGATGGGGATGCCGCTGGTCACACATGCCCCGGAGCTCCGCGCCGCGATGGAACTCGGCGCTGAGTGGGACCGGACTCTCCTCTCTCCGACGGCCCCGGCGCTTCTCCCTCGGCCCGGGGCCCTGCGGGGCGGGTGGGGCAGGCACAGCTGCAGCAGGGCGCGGTTCTGCCTCAGCAGCTGCATCAGCGTCGTGGGGCAGCCGCGGCCCCGGCAGCAGCGGCAGCGGGCTCCGGCACGGCCCGAATGGTCCCGGCTCTGCTCCTGTGGGGCAAAGAGCAGAGAGGGATCCCATGGGAGCGGCGGAGTGGGGCCGAGGCCGCTGCGAGGGAGGCTCGGCCTGCCAGGGCTGCCCGGCAGAGGCCGCAGCGAGCGGAGCTCCGGCCCCGCTGCGGCTGCTGGCCCGGCCCGGCCCGGCCCGATGCCCGCCCGGAGGCTCCGCTCCCCTCTGCCCCGGGGCTCGGCCAAGGGGTGCCCTGGAGCCCCGGGAGCCTCGGCTCTGCCCGTCCTGCCTCCCTCAGCTCTCTGCAGTGTCTCCAGAGCCTCCTGCCTGCCCGAGCCCTCCCTCACCTTTCTGCGGTTTCTCCAGAGCCTCCTGCCTGCCCGAGGCCTCCCTCACCTCTCTGCGGTGTCTCCAGAGCCTCCTGCCTGCCCGAGGCCTCCCTCACCTCTCTGCGGTTTCTCCAGAGCCTCCTGCCTGCCCGAGCCCTCCCTCACCTTTCTGCGGCGTCTCAAGATCCTTCTGCCGAGCCAGAAGCCCAGGACGACGCCCGCGACCAGCACGTCTCCCAGGAAGCACGTCCAGAACAGCAGCGCCAGGTCCCCCCACGGGCCGGCCTCATTGCCCGTGTCCTGCAGCTCCAGCTCCTCGGGAAGCAGGCCCGAGGTGCCCCGCTCAGGACGGCTGGAGGGGTCGAGGGGATGGACCAGGAGCGCCAGCAGGTACACCTGCAGCATCCAGGAGCCGCCCTGGCCAGCCATGGTGGTGCGCAGGAGGAGCTGCCACCAGCACACAGGCTCTGGACGTCTCTGCACGCCGAGGTCTGCAGGGGCTCTGGGCACGGAACGGCTGGGGGCACTTGCCAGCCACCCTGCTGTCCCCAGAGGCTGTGATGTCACAAATCACAGAATGCACGGGCTCGGAAGGGCCCTGCAAGTTCCACTCCAACCTGTGCCCCGTGGCCACCATGGCGAGCAGGCCGGAGCCGGAGTGCCATGGCCGGGCTTCCCTTGGGCACCTCCCACAGTGCTGATCCATGAGAGCTGAGGGCTCACTGTGCAAGGCTGAAAGTAAATGAGATGCTCTGAAGAGATTTTGGTCTTGGTGACTTATTGAAGGTGGATAGGACATAATTCCTTCGTTCATTGGGAATGCACAGTTTCGTTCTATCTGCTGTGTTTCTAAGCAGTGCTAAAGAAATGTTATTTCCCTTGATTTTGATGGCAGCAGAGGCTCAGCTGATTGATATGGATCTAAGTAAGGTCTCTAAGATGAAATAAAGTCTGAAAAGCTGCTAGACTAAAGGCACCCTGGACCTTTGGTCCCACAGGGAGTCTCTGAGGGAGCGGTCGAAGGGGCCTCGGGCAGCGAAATCTGATCTTCCACCCTGGAGACCAGAGGACACTTGGGCTGCTGGAGTTCCTTGAGTTTATTGCAAGGTGAAGTAGGAAGATGACAGGGAAACAACTGCACGGGAGGGAAACAGACTCCGAGAGCCCCTTCAGGGGAGGGGTCAGGACATACAACAGGGGAAGGGTAGGAGGGGTCAGGGCACATGGGGATCAATGGGAAGAAGACTCAGGGGAGGAGCAGGGATGGGGTGACATAACTAGAACCAATGGGTGAACAGAGAACTTTCCAGAACTGAGGGATGGAGCAAACAGTGAGTGACATGAACTGGCAGGGTCCAACATTTGATAGACATGGGGAAGGCGGGGATCTCATACATCAGTGGTTTCACAGGGCAAGCCTGGATAGCTTTCCCTGGGACTGCCTCCCACACCAGACAACCCCTATAGTCAATCTGAACAGAAAAGGAAAAAGCTGAACTTCCATCTTAATTTCAGAGATGATTCCTCTGTCCTGCCTGCTTTTCCTACACTGGGTATGTGACCACCACCGTTCATTTTGATCCTTAGCCCTGCCTGCACCACCTCACCTGCCTTCTGCTGCTCGCCTTTGCTTTCCTGTCAGATGGAATCACTGAAATAGAAAAGATTCTTCATTAAAATGTCTTGGCAATTTTTAAATTTTAAAACTTTGCCCTTTTGTCTTTGCTGAGTACTGGTGCTGGCTCATACCTAAGGTAGCAAATGTAGATGGAAATGCTGTACTGAACATAACATAATTATGTTTAGGAGGAACAGTTATTGCTGCATTGCTAGGAAAAATACTAAATTGAGCCTGTGGGACAATATGTCTGATTATACTAATTGGTACCTGTGCTTGTAATGCTTAGTTACTTTTTTCCTCACAACTGTGGAAGAACACTCGGCCATCTGATGTGGCCAAGCAGTTACTGCAGCTTCCTGGTGCCCTGCTGGGGCGTGCAGGAATGGCCAGTTCAGCACTGAACTCCCCATTTATGCACGTGGCTCTTACAGCCCCTTGTTGTGGTGATGTCAGTTTGGGATGGGAGCACATCCATCCCAGAAAAGTCATTAGCAGAGTTGTGAAGGTTTGCACAACACTTGCTTTTCCTGGGTGCTTTCATCAAATCTGGTGATGAGCTCCCTTTTCTGGGAGAGAATTCAATTCCTTACGCTGAGGAGGGAAATGTTTGGTGTCTCTCACACCCAAGGACATGGGCTTTGGCACAGTTTGATGATACCTGAATGAAT